CAATCTGCCCGCAGCTGGTTTGATTCCTCACAGGAATCTCTTGGGGTGGGCCTGTAGCATTGAGGGATGTATGATGCAGTCACCATTGCTTATCATCTGTGGTCTTAAGAGCACAACTAACAGCGAAGAGGTAAAAGAGCTGCTTGGCAGGCAGGTGCATTGCGATACTGCTGCTCCCGTAGGTGGGGGCTGCAACAACGCCGAGGCAAGGTGCTTGAGGGCAGAGGGAGCTTAGGAAGGAGCAGCAGTGAGTGGCCCTAAGAGGAGCGGAGTCTAAATCTCAGCCATGTGGCTCCAGGCCCCAAGTCAGGGAGTGTAAAATGGAGACAAGTAAATGCATCTCTAGGGCTGTGGCAAGGAGAAAGAGGTCTTTCCTGCTCCTGAAGCTGAAAAGATATAGTTGCATTCAAGGACAGGAACTATAACCTGGTGGTAGAAACTGTTAGAGAAATTGCTCCCCTCTTCCTCCTACAGTTATTGATGCCCTGACCCTCTATTTATGTCTCCTGATTTACTAACGTATGTGCATGTTTCTGGTGTGCTGCAGGTACATGAGGTGGTGATATTTTCAGTCCAGGTGCAAGCTGCAATGTACTGGCTTATGTTACTGAGAGTCAGGTTGCTAAACCCCTGTTTGCTGCACTGCATTTTTGTCCCCTAACTCCTTCTGAACAAGCAATAAAGGTGTGAGAGGAAATACCAAAAGGATGTTATTTTTTCTGGGTCTTGTAGCTTCTAACAGTGGACTGTTAGAAACAATTGATGGGAGGGTGCTGAAAGCTGTGTACAGGTGCCTTCTGGGCAGACCTGTTGCTCTGATGGACCAGCAATGCTTTGGGGTTTTGGTGATATTCCTCTGCTGAAAAAAAGAAAAGCAAACCTTGCACACAGTCAGAGGGGTGAGAATGACCTTTTTTCATTCTCTGAGTTTTGCTGTATTTCAGCAGAAGAAAATTAAGCAAACAAAACCAAAAACTATTGTTTTCTGTGAAATACTTCTTGACTGTGCAAAATGAACACCCCGCAATATGAAATTTTACCATCCTCTGTTTCTGTGTAGGCAACAAGAACTGTTTCATGTCCTGTCAGCCTACTCTGTTTACAACACGGTGAGTGTAAGCTCTTGGCTCAAGTGAAAGTAAGTAATTCCATATCGTAGCAGGCTTGGAGCAGTGTTGTTGCTGTGATGGTCAAGGAAGTGTACCAGAGGCAAAGATTTTTAGTGACATTTTGAATAATCCTTTCTTGACTTCCATAGTTTGGACCTTCCAGTTAAAGTCCTGATGAAAATAAATGCTCGTTTGAATAGAGCTCCAATTGGATATATTTGCACATTAAACAGTAAACATAAAAGCCACAGAGCAAGCAGTAGGTTCAGGACTTTCTGGTCATTCCATCCCAAAGATTTGATTTGGATGGTATCATCGCAGGATAAGAAATTACTTGTTACCATAATCTTTGCCTATGTGACTTTCCTATGAATCCTGCTCTCTGTCCCAATACAATCTCCCCATCTTTTGACTCCTGGCTCTGTATTGAGTTCTGTCCTCGTAGTTAAAGACCCTAATACATTACAGTGACTCAGTGGAGAATATTGTTAAATTAGCTACAGAGTCTGCTGCTTCCCTCCACCAGTGATGGATGCTGAATCCAGAAGGTCTGGATTGGCATGTGGACAAAACAATAGTACATCTCCTTTTCCAGCATATATAAGGGGCTACCAGATTTCCCTTTAAGCTATTTTGGTACAAGTACATTTAAAGAAATCCCAGATAACACCAGAGCCATATGCTGTTTATTATCCCTTATGGCATTTCTTGAAATAGCTGCACATGTTATTTGTGAATGAATCTTTACAGTTCACGTTCACATTTCCTTGCCTCACGCTGCCAGCAAAATAAGACAGTTGGCTTAAAGCTAGCAGGTTTACCCCAGCAGTACAGAACTTGTCACAACCAGCCGTTTCTACCAGGAAAGGAACAGCTGAGTTCTTAGGACACTTCAGGGTATCGGGTTCATCCCAGCCAGGCTCTGCCGTTTTTTTTAGGTCTTTGGTGCAAATTCATGCATCTAGCAATTGAAAGTTGGAATGTCAGCTGCGCAGTAGGCTGCATGAAATGACCTGATCGTAGCCCCAGCTTAGTTCCCAAAGGCAAGCGTCCATATCTTTCCCACATGTATCTGGCCTTCTGGTTGGTTTCCTCAGCTGAGAGGCCTTGGATCATGGTCTGCTTTCTGGCCTGTAGAGGTGGTCCTTCCAGATCTGAGTTAGAAGTAGATGGGGGAATTTACTCTGCTGCTTCACCTGCCCCCTCAGTGAATGGGGGGTTCAGCCTCCACGGCTGTTTGACTAGCATGAAAAGTCTGATCTAAAACCTGTCAGTGTTCAGTGCTGAAAAGGCTTTTGGCTGGTAACCTGTCTCAGAAGGTTTGCTTCTTGGACCTTGTTGCTTCTTGCCAAAGATTGCTTCTTGGACCTAATACAAATCTGGTGTTGGAGTCCCTGAGGAGCTATCTAGCAGTTGAATGGTACAGAGTTAGCAGGGAGAGGACCCAGTAGCAGTTGGACACCCACTGACTTCCAGTATGTCAGGTGTTAGATGCCTGAACTTGTGCAAAACTCCCCCTTAATCCCTAGTCAGGATCAGCTGCTGTTATCATGGTTTGAACCACAGTATGGATAGGCCCAGAGGTTTAAAAGTAGCCAGTGTTAAAGCCTTTTGTGGAATACCAGGAACATAACATGTTTATTCTAAGGGAAGCTTTGAAGTTTGGAATAAACAGTACAAGGCCTTACAACAACGAGGATGAGACTTGTAGGTGTTAAGTGATTTAAGAGCCTGAACCCCGCTGCAAGTCAGCTGGATTTGTGCTGCTTAATATGCTATAAGCATGTATGTGCTTTTGAATATCTCATCCTCAGAGCATGAGGGACACAAGGATCTGTGCCAGGGGTCAAAAGGACATCATGAGAGACACAAGGATCTGTGCTAGGGGTCAAAAGCAGTGAAGTATTGGAGTTTTTAAACAAAGCTTTGCATTTGCCTAACGAAAACTGTGGAAGCTGCATTTCTGCATGGGCACAACTTAGTCCAGTGAAGAGTTAGGCTTGTGTTATAAGCATGTGTGCTTCTGGGCTCTTCCAGGAAGTGAGCTACTGCCAAGGAATGAGTCAGATCGCAGCCATCCTGCTGATGTACCTAAATGAAGAGGATGCATTTTGGGCACTGGCACAACTATTGACCAATCAGCGGCATGCAATGCACGGTAAGGCTTAGGAGAAATACAGAACTACATCCTTTTCTATCGACTTTGCATGGCTGCTGATTTCAGCCTTCACGTCACTTTTTTTGGTCTGTAAGTCTTGTCCCCAAGGTGCCTGAGTCTTGTTTAAAGGAATAATGCCTCAGTTATGTGCATGGTGCTGTCTACATAGAACTGGATTTGCTGCTTGCATGCTGACTAGTTTATAGTTGAAAAACTTGGCTTATCTACTCTGGACTTTATCTCAAGGTAATTAACACATCTGTAGACACTGATGTGTTCCTGGATCCCTGTCTTTTGGTCCTTATCCTTAATTAACTCCAGGCGGAAAAAAAATATCTAGCACAAACCTAGCATAAGATATGGCATACAGTGTTCTCCTTCAAACATGCCATTGGAAACATTTCTTAATGCATTTATCCTGACACTGTCAGGAATCATGATGTATTATTTTACACAAACCACTTTAAAGTGCCTTTCATCTTATTGTGGTTTTTAAACTGAAAGAGTAAAAATAATAATAATGACAGAGACTCATCACAGAGTTTATTTTTTAGAAGAGGAAGGGTGGGGTGTGTTGTTTGATAGCTGCAGAAGGTCAGAGCCAGGGACTCTGCTCATGTCCTTTTATACTCTGTCATAAAACCATCACATGTTTATTGCATAAGTGGGGTCTGGCTCATAAGAAGCAGAGGATACACATGGAAGCCAGAACTGATCTCTGACCCTTTGAAAGCTTCATTTGATGGATCTGCTGCTAGATTATAGCAGTGAGGTAGGACATCTTGTACAGATGTTATAAACAGCAGGTTTAAACAGCGGCAAAGGGGGTGCATGCACAGACAGATAATGTAACAATCAGTCTACCATGTCATGTGAACAGGGGGCCCAGTGCAAGTCCATGGTAGTCTTTATATTGGTTTCAGTGTGTCCTGGATCAGGCCTAGGTTGATTAGGACTGTCATGGTACCTTCAAGCATTGACTGGCCTGCTCAAGAGGAACAGTTTTAGGAGAACCAGCTTGGCGTATGGTTGATGCTGCCCAAATTAAAGGGGTAGAATCTATATGCTGAACAACATGTCTGGGGGTCCTGATTTGCTCTGGGGCTTGATGTGTACCCTTTCCAGCAGCTGAGCTCCACAGGAGAGGTAGATGCTCAGGAAACCAAGCCTGTGGCCCACTCTTGTCACTGCTGCTGGCATTTGTTCCTAATTTCTTCTGTGTGTGTGTTGTTTACAGGGTTTTTCATTCCTGGGTTCCCGAAGCTGCAGCGGTTTCAAGCCCACCATGAGCAGATTTTAAGCAAACTGTTTCCAAAGCTGAAGAAGCACATGGTACCTGTTTGTTACTGGCTTTCAAATGCTAATGTTGCACTTTGCATGACAGCAATTAATGTAATTTCTTTTCTCATAACCTCCTGGGTGTTCCTCATCATAGAACTGCGTCAGCCATGGGGGAAGCAGGTATTTAGCTAAACAGCATGTCTCCTAAACACTGCTGAAGTGAATTATTTGGATTTCATGGCTTGCCACCAGCATTTGTACAAGAGCTTCTACAGCTTCCAGACTTCTCTTGGATGGCAGGGAGAGGAAGGTTTATCCATGTGTGGAAAAGGAATTATTTCAGGCACTAAAAGGGCATAGGTGTATTGTGCTGGCCATATATCCTTCAGGGTGTTATCTCCTTCCATGAAAGGTGCTGGAAAGCCCAGAACTGTCACTTTACAGTTTCTCATGTAAAGTTTCACATGTTTCTCATTTAACCTCCTCCCATGCCAGTCCTGCTGTTTGGGTAGGTTTCCTTCCTTCCAACACAAGGAGACAGGAAATAGGAGAACTGATGTGATGGTTCATTTTGCTTTTGCTGGCTTGGCCTCTCCAGTTGTGTTTCTCGCCAGCAGATGGTAT